GAGGAGGAGGAGGAGGAGGAGGAGGAGGAGGAATAGGAAAAGGTCAAGGTGGGGGCGCAGGAGGACGAGGAGAAGGAGGAGAAGGAGGACCAGTGTGAACCCCTGAGCCATCAACGATGGTGATGTTGGAATAGGCCCTCTTCCAAGCCCCCTCCTCACATGCTCCTACAACGGTTCATTTCCACTAGGGGAACTTCTTCGTTGGAAGACAACCGTTTGAAGACCCTGAAGCATGCCAAAACATGGGTTTCGGGATTCCAACACCTTGATCAATCTGATTGTTTTGTCTTGACGATCTTGAAGCGCACCAGCACGCCATCCCTGGGACTTCAACACCGCGGAACAACGTAACGGTTGCACCCTCATAATCTTGAGTCTTTCCAGCACGCTATTTCTGGCACGCTGGCCATGGACATCCGTGAAACTTTTTTACAAATTTGAATAACGAGTGAGTGCGGCGCTAAGGCGAGAGCCACACGTTGAAAAGGAATCGCGGTCAATCCGTGAAACTCTTGCAACTGTTCACGACGAGTGCGCGCGGCTCCAAGGCGAGAGCATTTTTTTGAAAACGATCCGCCCTCTAACTGTGAAGCTGTTGTCAACTATTTAGCTTCAGGGCCATCAATAGTGAGGAAGTCTCAGGCGCAACGCCAGGCCTGCCCTAAAGCTGGTTTCGGGGTGCGGCAGGGAGAAGCTATTCATAAGGAAAAGGAATGGAGAAGGAGGTGGAGGGGGAGGAGGAGGAGCAGGACGAGGAGGATGAGGAGGAGGAGGAAACGGAAAAGGAGAAGGAGGAGGGGGATGAGGAGGAGGAGGAGGAGGAGCAGGAGGAGGAGGCGAAGGAGGAGGAGGAGGAGGAGGAGGAGGTGGCGGCGGTCTATGCTCATGGCGTTCTTGTTTCCTCCAGAGGCGCTCGCCGCGTTCGCGGTCCCCGGGGCGCCCGCCGTCAGCACGCAGGTCGAGGCCGCCACCGCCGGCCAGCTCACGCGCCGGGCGCCGTCGGCCTTCGAGATGGCCGCCGGGCGCGCCGCGGGCGGCGCCACCGCCCGCGCGGCCGCCGCGCCGGCCGTGAGCGTCGTTTCGAAGGTCGTCAACGCGATGGGCGCAGGCGCTCGGAGGAGGGAGGGCCCAGACCTCCTCGCGTCGTGGCAGAGATCTCGACGCGAGGTTTGTCAAGATGTTCGGCCTCTGGGGTCCCTTACCGGATCCGGCGGGAGAAATGACGCAGAAAGATGTGGTCCGGGGCCCCAGACTATTTTTTACGATGTGGCAATTTTTCCGCCACGTCGGATCTCAGAGTGAGAGTAGGAATGGTGACGATGACGAGGACGATGCCCCTGCGCTTGAGCCTCCTTGGAGGCCGTCGTCGCCACCGCCGGACTCGCCTCGAGATTCTTGTCCGAGCGCACCGCGGGAGAGGTCCGAGGAGTAGCGGTACATGGGTACCCTTTTGTTTCCGCAGGTGCGGTGGCCTCTGTCATCCAGGCAGCGCTCTCGGCGGTAGGCGAGCCCATCGTGAACCGCGTGTTGGTGAAGCGCATGAAGATCATGGAGGCCATCAACGACGTGAGCGCTGCACAGATGCTCAACTTCTTCAAGACGACGCTCGCCACCAACTTCTTGAAGTTCCCGTTCTTCGAGGCCATCAACGCTTTCTGCGGCGCGTTCCCGATCAGCCCCACCTACCGTGGGATCTTCACAGGCTTTGTCTTCACCACGGCCACCCTGCCAGTGACGAACTACAGGTACCGCAAGTCGATGGAGCTCGAGGTGAATTGGGGCAACATTTACGAGGCATACCCGCCCACTGTCATCCGCGACATCGTGTATGGCATCGCGCGCAACTACTGCACCATTGGCGTGCTCGCCCTCAATTCCACTTGGACGGCTGCCTCGCCCGAGGTGCTCTTCATCGTGGTGATCCTCGGCTGCCTGATCTCGGCACCTTTCAACGAGTGGCGGGGATTCCTCCTGCAGTCCAAGGGCCAGGAGCTCACCTTCAAGGAATTCTTCAAGCCGTCCAACTTCGTCCGGTCGACGTCGCTCGGTGCCATCAAGCAGGGGTTGGCCCTCGCGCTGGGCTACTGGGCCGCGCCTCCGGCGACCAAGTTCGTCAAGGGACTCATCATGGCCGCCAAGGGCGCTTGAGGCAGCAGCGAGGAGGCGCTCCAGTGTCGTCGCTGAGCGAAATGCAGCTAGAGGCAGCAGGATGTTTTGATTTTCCAGACATCTTCCGCATCACTGCGGAGGGATAATTCGTGTATTTATGAATGTCTATACATATCGCAATGTGATTGGCGCTTCGCGTTTCCCCACCAGACCCTGCAGCAACAGTGCCCATGTGAGTTGCATCGATCAGGGAGGTGTGGGAGCACGCAGTGGACAAATAGAAAGGGCAGCCTTCAAACCGAAGATCGGGATCAGCCTGAGCAAGCTTTGAAGTCAGCCATGAACGGATGCCTTCGTGGATGGATCTGTCGCTCTGGGAGCCTCCCCTTGCAGCTTACCTTGGCACTCTATTGGGGCCCCATTCGGAACATGTTTGCTGGAGATTCCTTTGGGCCTCTCTTGGGGCCCCCCCTTGGGCCCCTCTTGGAGACCTCTTGGAGGCCTCGGGGCTCTCTTTGGGTCATCCCGGGAGCCATCCATTCGAGAAGGGGGGCTAGCCCCCCACCCCCCCCCTGTCGGAGGCCTGAACACTTGCCTCTTGCGGCCCTCTTTGGGGGCGCGCTCTGGGGCGCTCACCGGGGGCCGTCTTGGGCCTCTCTTGGGCCTCTGTTGGAGTGAGCTCGATGCCTCAAAGGCCATCGGGAGCGAAAAGGCGAGAACACAAAAAGCGATGATTCCCCATACATGTTGTACTGGCTTTTGGTTTTCTGGGGGGGGTCAGTGGGAGGCTGGCCACTTAAAACATATCTTTGGATGGTCATGGCGCCTTTTGGAGGAATGCTGGAAATTATCTTGAGCCATCTTGCGCTATCCTGTGCGATCTTTGAGGCAAGATGTGGGCCCTCTGGTGCAATCCTACTTTGAACGGAGGTCAAAGGCGAGATGCGAGCGACGCGCCTGTGGCCGACGCAGCTTGGACTCAAGCGGCCCCGCTCTATGTGACTGCCTCAGTCTTGAGGCACTAACGCATCCAAGCAATGGAAAATGACACGTCCACATCATTCAACGATGCACACTCTACTCCCATGTCTTATCTCTCGCCTGTCCGCTCATACCCACAGTATGGATAAGTCATGCGATACTATCTATCGCAGGCCTAAAACGTAATGTGTGGAACGGCTTGCCATATCCCTTTCGACTGTCTTGGGGCCATCTTGGACGATCTGACTCCTCGCGGCGCCCCCCTCCGGGCGTAGGGACGGGGGTGCCCAGAAGGTTGGTGGGATTCCAGGTGCCTGCGGCGAGTCCGCCACCGCGCTAGCGAAGTACTCTGGTACGGCGGCCCTTCGAGCACTGTCCTGGAGGTCGTCACATGCGACGCCTCTCGTCTCCGGCTCTTGAGGAGCTCTCAGGGGGCCTGTTGGGCCGTCCTGTGGCCGTCCTGTGCGCTCTTGGTGTGAGGAAGTCTTGGGGGTCCCTGGGGGCCTTCTTGAGCCGTCTGGGGGCCCTCTTGCGCCGCCATTGGGGATCGAGTGAGCCATCTTGCAGCTATCTTGGCCGTCTGGGGGGGTATCTTAGGGCCGTCGTGGGGCCGTCTTCTGACTTTCTTGGGCCGTCTTAGGGGCCACCTCGGGCCGTATGGGGTTCCTTCGGGGGCCCTCCCTTGGGGCCCCCTTGGGGCTCACGTGGGGCCGTGCCAGGCCGTCTCGAGTCGGCTCCGTTGTGCTCTCGACGATCGCACGTGGGCTGCTATCCCACCGAAGGTCACCGCCCACCAAGCCACCCAGAACTAACCCAAAGGCCCCGATTTGCCCTCCATTTCCAGTGTGGGGGCGTCGGGGAACATTAAAACACACGCGTGAAGCCCGTACCCCCCCCAACCCAAAATGCGGGTCTTCGGGTTGGGTTGGGGTGGTCTGGTAGGTACTCAGAAGGCGTGGAGTGCGAAACACATTCAAAGACACACCGAAAAACAATGTTCCTGGCCTTTCGAGGGCCTCCTGGCATACGTCCTGGCGGTGCCTTGGAGCTTTTCCGAGGCTCTTCGAACACCGTCGGGTGCTTCTTGGAGGCTCTTGGGTGCGTCTTGGGGCACTGATCCCAGACCCCCGACGTCATGATTTTTTCATGGCGTCGACCCCCAGAGGTCTGGACCTCTTCCCCGGGACCAGCTTCTTATCCTGAATCGTTTTCTGACGGCCCCGAGGCCCGGGGAGGGCCGCCAGAGGCAGAAAATCGCCAGAAACCTTTCGTCATGATTTTTTCCTGACTCGGGGGCGTCTGGGATGGGCCATCTTGCTGGCCTTGGCGGCCTTCCGGGGCCGGCCTGGAGGCCTGGGGGGCGCCCTGGAGAACCTGCAGGAGCGGCGCTGCGACGTCTGGGGCGAGGGCAATCAACACGGGTAGGTACAATCGAAGCGGGTCCGGAAACAGTGGTCGGCGGGGGGCGAGGGGGGGAAGTGAGGAGGAGAAGGCCTTTTCGGAAGGTGGCGGGATTTCTCAGAAGCCCTCGCGCCCTCCGAGAAGTTTTTCGTTTCTCCTGCCTTCGGGGAAGTCCCAGAAAACTTTTCAGAAGGCTGGGGGACTTCCGAGCCGTCTGAGAAGGCCCGCCCCTTCTCACTTCCCCCCCTCGCTCGCCGCCGCAACGGGCACGAAGACCGACAGCTGTTCCTGTCCATTTGGGACGGGGTTCGTTGTCGGCGTGGCCGCGGACGCTGTCTATTTGAGACAGAAGGTCGCCTGCCCAACAGCGGCCGCTGTCGGTTTGGGACAACATTTGACAATGGGCATCGCACCCATTTTTCCGTCATTGTCGAGATAGGTGGGGGCCCTTTTCCGCCTGTGGCGGCCTCGGCATGCTCGCATCGTGAGACACATCACGACGGGAGGCTTTGGCCGCCTTCGACCCCCATCGGCCCTCGCTGGGCCCCGGAAGCGTCCAAGGACGACTCGGGAGGAACAGCCGGCCCTGGGCAAAGGGTCGGACAAATTCGGTAATGGAGGATGACGATTAATAAATGACCGGGGGTCGTGTTCACGCGGCGGCGCCCGGGATGACGATTAGAAAAAACCGGCCGCGGGCTGGAAAACTATGTTTCATCGTTCTCCTCCAGTCAGAAAATTGTGCAGAAATAGCAGAAGACTATTTGTTTTAATCGTTCTTTCCCATTTTTAAGAAAATAATCGTCATCCCGCATTACATCGGATGTGTGGGAAAGCCTCGTGGGGCCCTTTTGGCGGCGCCCGGTGTCTACTTTGGGGCTGTTGGCTGCCTCTTGGGGCCATGCTGCACCATCTCTTGGCGGCCTCGAGTTCCTCGAAGTGCCCTTCCTGGGCCAAGCTGTTAGCCTTTTTCGGGGTCTTCGGGGGCCCATGGAGCGTCAGGGGTACCCAGAACCGCCCGGGAGAGGGGAGGGATGCACGGAGCGAAGAACGTCCGCCTAGGCCTCCTAGATGGGGTCGTAGTAGATGGGGTCGGGGGATCGAGCCGCATCGCCGATGCATCGGCGATGCGGCTGGATGTGGAGCCCGATTTGCTTCACGTCGACGTCGCCGATGCATCGCCGACGTCGACGATGCATCGCCAGTGCATCGCCGATGCATCGCCGATACATCGCCGATGCATCGGCGATGTACCGGCGATGCGGCGCGATCCTCCGACCCCATCTACTCCGACCCCATCTAGGAGGCCTCCAGTCCAGAATGGGGGGTCCCTTACATAAAAGACTTGCAGAATCCATGTGGGCAGCACTTGTTTCTACCGCGCCGAGATGCGCCAGGGGGCACGGTGGCGGATTCGCGCGCCGGAGCTTGACATGACAACTCTCGCGGAGCGCAGCAACAGAAAGACGTGGATGAATCTTGTAACAGCGGTCTCTGCTCCAGCGCTTCGTGAGACGCCCGCTGACGCTCGGGACGTCCTGAGCACATCTTTTCGGGCATCATCGACGCTAAATTTGGCAGCTTTTTGCAAAGGGGGTCGGGGGTGATCTTTAGCTTCGTTCAGGTTGGCGTTTGGATCGCGATCGTGGATATCGCTTTGTCGACAGACCTGACCATCTTCACGTTCATCAGATGTTTCGGATTCGGGCTAGATGGTTGCATTGAAGAGCACCCCACCACAAGTGATGGTCGACAGATATGCGTTGCGGTAGGGTGGGGGCCAGTTGGCATGGACGTTTGATCAAGATCACTGACCACGTGGCTGAACTATTGGTTACACCTTGTCTGCGACGACATTGCCGGAACCCCTGGCATGGGAAATGACGTGGACATGAGGTCGTCTCTCTCGCCTTCTCTCTCTCTCTCTCTCCCTGTCTCTCTCTCTCTCTGTTTACGTTTCGCTCTCTCTCTCTCTCTCTCTCTCTCTTTCTCTCTCTCTCTCTCGCTTCCCCTGTCTGCAACGTGTTCACTCCTGGTCAGCTATGCCCGTGGTCAGTTCACGCCGCTGGCCAGATGCAGGGTCGCAGCAGGGCGTTGGGCTGAGCCACGGCCCGCCGGCGGCGTCGCTGGCGCGGTGCAGAGACAGCGCCGCCCCGAGCCATGGAAAGCAGACCCGCGGGACCCCGAGCGTGGCCGGGATGGCAGGGGCCGCCAAGCTCCCCGACGGACGCGCGTCGTGAACAAAGTCGGGCCGGGAGGATTGGGCCGTTTCCGGCCGCTGGGGGCCCTCTCTGGGCCCCGGGAGCGTCGAATCGAAGAATGTCTCGGGATGGAGCGTCGGCCCTGCTTGGTTCGCCTTAGAAGCGCCCTGGGCGTTTTTGGGGCGTTTTCGGTTCTGGGCTCTCGACAGGCTGAAAACGGTCAAGCAACGCTACGTTTTTTGTGGTTTTTAGGGCAGTGTTTGGAGCGTTTTTTTTTTGTTTCGCGCTTTCAGGCTGAAAACGTTCAAAAATGCACAAGCCAGCTAAAAAACACGCAGATTGTTCCCAACCATCCTGTGGTGTTGGGTCCTCGTTTTGAAGAGACAGCGCCCGGCGTCCCTCCCTCCCTCCCTTCCTGCCTCCCTTCCTCCCGCCTCCTACTCCTCCTCCCGCCTCCTCCTCCTCCTCCTCCTCCTCCTCCTCCTCCTCCTCCTGCTCCTCCTCCTTCTCCTCCTCCTCCTTTCCTCCCTCCTCCCTGCGTTTCGCCCACTCAGTACAGCGCTCACCGAAGGCGCCAGTGGCAGGGTTCGCATGGCGGCCCCGGGCCATTTCGGCACACCCCTCACGAGGATCGTGGCAACATAGGGAGCTCCACCGAAGGCCACCAGTGGCAGGGTTCGCATGGCGGCCACGGGCCATTTCGGCACAACCCTCACGAGGATCGTGGCCCCATAGGGAGCTCCACCGAAGGCCCCCAGTGGCAGGGTTCGCATGGCAGTCTCGGGCCATTTCGGCACACCCCTCATTA